GATTAAACTAGGCTACCTGGTAAAAGCCTCTTATTGGATAATTACGGAAGGTACAACTTATGCAAAAATATGGCCACCCCTCTGTGGCTGCATAATAATGTGCTCCTTCTTTATAAGACAAAAATCACAGTAAAATGGCATTTGGTTTCTTGAGAAAGCTAGATAATGTCATGTATTTCAGACAGAAATATGCAGTGTAGCTGTATTGAGAAGTGTGAAAAATAAGCAATGCAAAAGTTTGGGCACCTTCTCTTTTGTGTGAATTTCAAAACCTGTAATCATCAATGCTAACTGATTACAACACAAAAACCTTAACAGTGCCAACACGGGTGCAGCCAATCATGAAAAAGGATATTTAAGACAGCTAGTTGATTGCTAGTTGTGCTTTTTATTGTTAATCTAAAAGTAGCTACATGGGAACCTTAAAATAACTTCCTAATGACCTTAAAAACTAGGGTAGGATGAAGGAGAAGGATGCAAAAAGCTATCACAGAGGTTAAAGGTGTCTATCTCCACAGTCACAAATATAGTAAGAACATGAAAGGCCAAAGGAACAGTTCTTGTGAAGGAAAGATGTGCTAGACCACGAAAAATAACTGAAAGCCAAAGAATAGCTGAATGGATGGTTCTGCCAACGAGAGTCATTTTAAGAACACAGCATTCCAGGAGAAGAACATGCTCCCCACTGTAAAATTTGGTGGGCTCCATCATTTTGTTTGGATGTGTGGCTAGCACAGGTAATAAAAACCTAGTCAGAGTTAAAGGTTGCATGGATTCCACCCAGTGTCAGCAGATTCTGAAGAACAACGTTCAGGAATCAGTCAAGAGGCTGAAATTATGACAGGGTTGGATGTTTCAGCAGGACAGTGACCCAAAGCACAGTTCCAGATCTACCAAGGAGTTCATGCTAAGACACGATAAAATGATCTAGAATGGCCATCCCAGTCCCCAGACTTGAACATCATTGAAAATCAATAGATTGATTTGAAAAAGGCTGTTCATGATTGGCACCCATGAAACTTGACTGAACTGGAGAAATTGTGCAAGGAAGAATGACCTAAGATGCCTTCAGCATGAAGTCAGGTACTCATCTTAAAAGATTGATGTTACTGTATTATTTTGTTGGGGTGCCCAACTTTTTTGCACCTGTCCTTTTTGGTTATGATTTAAATTGCATTGCATCTGTTGATTAATTAAATGTTTTGCCAGAATTAAGATGTTTATTTTTCCCTATAGGGTATAAAATATATCCAAATAAATTAGCTGATCTGAAAGGCCAGCAGGCTATGGCTTGCAATTATGAAAATTATCAGGGGTGGCCAAACTTTTGCATTAGACTGTATGATTTTGTTTTAGCTTGCAACAAGTTATTTAAACCTAACTGATGCAGAGAGTAGCTTCTCGTTTATTATACAACCACACTGAAAGAAACAACTCATATTCATGGAAATTATGTTAATATACTTCAGAAGGGTCTAATTATCTTCATGCATCAAGTAAATCAATCATCTACAGTACCTTAAGAAGATGCCTGAAACTACCAAAAAAAGGGTTAAGAACTGTCCAACGCATTATTTAAAACTGGATAGGTGTTGGAGAAATCTCATCTTTGATGAAGAAATGGGATTGGAAAAAATGTTGAATGATCACGATTGGCAATCACTTAATCGTCTAACTGAGATCAAATTGTAAAAAAAAAAAAAGAAAAGAAAAAAAATAGAACTTAAAGCTATTAGTTTAATAGTGAAAGTAAGAGCATTTCCACACACACAATGCAAACGGAACTCAAGGGATTTAGAACAAGCAGCTGCATAGTTTTAAGAAGACCACATATCAATGAGACTAATTAAAAAGCCGTCAATTTGTCAGGGAGCATAAAGATGGAAGGAGAGAGGGGGATGACGTGATGCACCCATCATGCTTATTATTGAATACCATACAATAGGCTAAAATTATGAAAGAGTGATTCAGGGAGTATAAGACATAATTTTAAGCATGAATTGGGCACCACAGATTTCAGACTTAACCCTATTGAGAATCTTTGGGATGTGCTAGATAAGACTTTTTGCACTGGTCCGACTCTTCCATCATCAATACAATATCTTGGCAAAAATAAATCATGCAACTCTAGTAAATGTTGTAACATTGCAGAAGTTTGTTGAAAGAATACCACAGTGAATGCATAACCAAAGCTAAAGTGGTCAAATAAAATGTTAGATTGTGTGACATTTTTTATGAACAAAAAAATGAAAATGTAAAGGCTCAGTAATTCATCTAATTGTTGTAGTTTAGATTCATTTCAATATCTTCATATATTCATTAGTAATGTGTATAGAAATATTTATATTAATCATTCTTTTGAAAACAAAAAAGCAGCGTCTTTATTCAAGAAGCTACTTAACTTCCTCAAACTGCTAGACTCTAGCAGATAATGTAATTTCCTGTTGCAAAAAAGGGTGAAACCAATAAGATGTCATTATTTCCAGTGAACTGCGGTCTCGTTCACACGTAAATGTTGTATATCCTGCACATGCATATTAACACATGCACAAAAGCAATGCAAACTAATCAAACTAAAATCTTTGAAAATGAATAAAATAGCCCTGGTAAATGAAAAGCTAAGCTCATGTCTCTAAGCAATAAAGAAAAAGTCAGCCAAAGGCATCTTTATATCTGTTATGACTCTTCCAGATGGTAGGGATCAGACACAAAGACAAGCTGCCTCTGGTCAAAAGTGGTCATTTCCTAAATTCTGTAGTCATTGAAACATGTCCACACAAGCTCAGTTCAGATAATGGTTACTGCCAGACACTAGAATAGCAGCACTTTCAAGACAGAGGTTTGTTACTAACTGGAAGAATAACATTTTTCCTCTAATTCAATATCCATCTGCCCATCCATATTTTGACAACTTGATGAATATGTGACAGGAAAATGTCTAAAAAAAAGACTTAAACAACATCTCATTGGAATGCCCACTACCAGTCGAAAGTTTTGGGTTTGTAGGATTTTTTAAAATGTTTTAAAATAAGCTTATCCTGCTCAACAAAGCTGCATTTATTTAATCAAAAATACTAATTTATTTAATAAAAAGTACAAACTGAAAAATTGTGAAATGTTATTGCACTATAGAAGGACTGTTTAAAAGTAGTTGATAATATAATTTAATAATTTGTTTCAGTGATTTTAACTATGAATTTTTAGCTCCATTACTCTAGTCTTCAGTTATATGATTATTCAGAAATCACTCTTATATTGATTATTATTAATTATGATTTATTATTATTATTATTATTATTATTATTATTATTATTATTATTATTATTATTATTATTAGTAGTAGTAGTAGTAGTAGTAGTAGTAGTATTGATATTAATAATAATAATAATAATAATGATGATGGCAATAGCAATAAAAGCAATAATGTAGAGTAATTATTAAAACTTGAGTAATATTAGTTTAATTTGAATCTACATACTGTACAATCAGAAAGCAGTTATTTAACATTTTTATAAATGTTTCACAATAAAAAAAATTACATTTAATAAATGTCGCCTTGATGAACAAATTTGTGTTCTTAAAAAAAAAAAAAAACATGAAAAAAGGCTACCTTTTTGAATTGCTTTCACTTTCCATGAGTCATTTATACAGTATATATACCTTAGGTCTTTATTCTGAACATTCTATACATTCATGGATTTAAAACATTTATTTTGAAACATATTATGTCTTGTATTTATTTCATTTGTAAATTGGTTAGTTATCACCAATCCACATTTTGTCATTGTAAAATGCAAGATTCGTTTCTGAAAAGAATGTTTGGCAGCTCCAAACTCTAGTCTTAGAGTCCATCCAGTGGAGCTCTCTTCTATTGCAACTAGTTTAACAAAGCCTTTGTTCTGGTCAGTGGTTCAGAGGGGCTTTGGGGATTTATGGACAAATGCATGCGCTACTTTACAAATAGTTTATGAACCTTTAGTACTGTTACACAATTTTGGATTGCTAAAGGACACACACATTTATTTAGTTTTAGATTTTTAAAGTACCCTAGTCTCCTTTGTTTAGTATTTGAGTTTAGAAATAACATTAAGTTGTTTCACAAGATGCTTCCGTAACACTTTATAGTAACTACACACTATGAACCATTTATTAAGCATTAGCATATAGTTATTTCATTATTTGTTAATCATTAACTGCAGCTACACATACTGTATTCTTGACATTGATTTTTCATGACAAACTGAAGTATTGCATTATTTACAAAACATTTGTATTTAAGAACAGTTGGTGGTCTTTAAGATCAATCAGAATGAGTTAGTAAATGATTAATTAACTATTGAAATTAACGTTTATATATCTTATTATTCAGGCATGTACTAATAGTTAATTTGTATGTTAATGAATGCTTTAGTATCTCAGCTTCATCCAGTTTTGTGACCTAATCTAAAGTGAGGACTATTTATGCTTTATAAATTCCTTAATGACAATTAAGTTAGTATTAAATGAACAATAATCATTGCAATCTTATCTAAAAATAAAATTACTGTAAAGTTTAAACATTGCTGAATAACAAAAGTGTCAAAATATGACAAAGTTGGATTTATAAAGCATAAATATAGTCCTCACTTTAGATTTATTAATATATGGCTGAATAATAAGATGTATAATTGATCATTTGAATTGTTTATTAACCATTTACTCATGCATTCTAAGTTATCTTAAAAAACACCAACTATTCTTAGATAACTAATTTGTAAATAATGCAATACTTAATTTTGTAATGAAAAATTCATTCTTAACAAAGTATGAAAATACAATGATTAAGCACATTATAAATGTGGTTATAAACTGCTTACTAACATATATTAATGTAGAGTTAATGCTTAACAGATACTTAACAAATGGTTCATAGTGTGTAGTAGTAAAATAGGAATGAATAAAAACCACAATAGACATTAAGATGAAGTGATTACCAGACAGTATGCCTGTCTGTCTCGTACCTTTTCCTTCCTCAGGCTTTTCAGCTTCCTTCCCAATGTCAGGGTCCTTTACTGGCTCAACTGGAGCAAATGTTTGCAAATCTTTAGAAGACAGTATATGACAAAAGGTCAGTTTACACAAGTCACTGTGGCGATGCAAAGTTGGGAATGTCAGGTACCTTTTTCTGACGTGGTGTCAAACACTTCTGCATCCACTGTGCTGAGTGGAATCTGAGCATCTTCTTTTTTAGGGTGCAAGTCGACAGAATACTTCTGCAAACATATTGTTTGTGCATAGGTCAAAAACGATGGGTTGCAACTTTCAAAACAATGTCCTGTTTACTTGCTTGTCCTTTTTTTTTTTTTGAAAAAGACACCTACTAAAATGTAATACAACAACAAAACAAAAATCATTTGACAAAAAGTACAGCCCCCCCCATTAATTAATTAATTATAAATTATTAATTAATTTACTTTGCCACTATCCCTCAGTGGGTTTTACCTATTTGTCGACAAGGCTTTTTTTTTTTTTAATTAAGTGGCATATCATAAAATTAAATTTTTCTTTTATATATTTTACATGTGGCGAAGCAGTGGCGCAGTAGGTAGTGCTGTCGCCTCACAGCAAGAAGGTCGCTGGGTCGCTGGTTCGAGCCTCAGCTCAGTTGGCGTTTCTGTGTGAAGTTGCATGTTCTCCCTGCATTCGCGTGGGTTTCCTTCAGGTGCTCCGGTTTCCCCCACAGTCCAAAGACATGCGGTACAGGTGAATTGGGTAGGCTAAATTGTCCGTAGTGTATGAGTGTGTGTGTGTGAATGTCTGTGTGGATGTTTCCCAGGGATGGGTTGCGGCTGGAAGGGCATCCGCTGCGTAAAAACTTGCTGGATAAGTTGGCGGTTCGTTCCGCTGTGGTGACCCCGGATTAATAAAGGGACTAAGCCGACAAGAAAATGAATGAATGAATATTTACAACCCGGGCTCATTGTGGAAACGTAGCCCCGGGAGGTACGTATTCGAGCGGTTTTTTGTTTTCGCGGATCCGCGAGAGGCCGCTGTGCGCGTTTTTTCGCGTCTCGGGCGGGCGCCTCTCGGGAGAGCGTGGCGTTCGTGCCCGCGCCGTTCTCGCGCGAAAAGCCGCCGGATCGGAAAAAAAAAAAAAGTAAAAGCCCTCGTCTTCGATTTCGACCGCGTTTTCGGATCCCGCCACGTTCTCGCCCTTATTTTCCGGATTCCGTTTTTCGTCTTACCTGATTTCCGGAACCCGCTGTTCCCCGGACTCGATCCCGGTCGTCGTAAACCGCGGCCGGCTCCGGCTCCTCCTCCTCCGGGGCCTCCGCTCCGCCGACGCAACGCTGTGAGCTAGGCGGACAAACTGATTGCGTCAGCAAAGCCCTCCACTCGGAGGCGAGGCGTCGGCTGGCGAGCGCGAAGAGGAGGGGCAGAGCTGCGCCACACCGCCCCGCAGCGTTCGCTCGAAAAAAAAAAAACGCGGCCTTTACGTACCTCCGGCCATGTAAATCGCGGTCTCTAGAAACGTCCGCGGGGCTACGTTTCCAGAATGAGCTTGGGTTGAATATTTACGTTAAAAATGTTTTAATTTTACATTCATATGTAATTTATTCTGAAGGACTATGAAGCATTATTTCACCCATAATTGTGCATTTTATTTTATACATTACTTAAAATAACAAAAAAGGGGGGAGGGGGTAGACATTTTACTTGCATTTTTTGGAATATTTGATGCAAACACCAAAATCTCATCTATGACAAACATTAAAATATATAGTTATAAAATTATTTCAAAAAGTAATAATGAAGTCTCTTACCCTGGAGTTCTTTTGAAGGCAGCAGTAAACTACTACTCCAGTGATGCACAGAACAGCAATGACCAGAATAATTATGTTAGCTGTTAAAAAAAATTCAAAATAGAGTAAGAATATTAAAATCTTGTCGTCAAGTAAAAATTAAGCAAGTAAATCTAAAACTAGGACTGCACAACATATTGTTTCAGTATCGCAATGTGTGTATTCATAATAGTCACATCGCAAAGATATGCAATATTGAGTTGACTTTGCGGTGTAATTTTTACATTAACATGTACAAAACTATAATGTATGCACTGTTTATTTCATTTTCATCTTTGCTTTGTTGCATTTATCTACTGTATGCTTGTAGTTTGTTTATTACAGGTTATGCATGAATCACTCCCCTACAGAATCACCCCAGTCAAAATTAATTCATTCGATAACACTTTAGGAACCAATTCTCACTATTAACTAGTTGCTCATGTTATTGAGATATTGGCTGCTTATTAGTACTTATACAGCACATGTTCTGTATGATCTTATTCTAAGTCTCTAATCCTACCTAATACCTAAACTACCCTAATAACTATCAATATGGAGCAATATAGGAGTTTATTGAAGCAAAAGTCAAAATGGTTTGCTAAGAGGGAGAACAGACCCTTAAAATAAAGTATGAACAAAAATTATTTCCAGGTACAACACTGTGAGTACAGTTGAAGTCAGAATTATTAGCCCTCCTTTAAATTTTTTTTTTCTTTTTTAAATATTTCCCAAATTATGTTTAACAGAGCAAGGAAATTTTCACAGTATGTCTGATAATATTTTTTTCTTTTGGAGAAAGTCTTTTTTGCTTATTTTGGCTAAAATAAAAGCAGTTATCAAATTTTTAAACACCATTTTAAGGACAAAGTTATTAGCGTCTTTAAGCTAATTTTTGTTTCGATAGTCTACAGAACAAACCATCATTATACAATAACTTGCCTAATTACCCTAACATGCCTAGTTAATCTAATTGATCTAGTTAAGCCTTTAAATGTCACTCTAAGCTATATAGAAGTGTCTTGAAAAATATCGATAAAATAAATCAGTTATTATAAATAAGTTATTAAAACTATTATGTTTAGAAATGCGATGAAAAAAATATCTCCATTAAACAGAAATTGGGGAAAAAATAAACAGAGTCTAATAATTCAGACTTCAACTGTATGTGGGGTACTAGAAAGTCTTAAAATCTCTTTTATTTAAAAAACTTAAAGTTAAAAAGTGACTGAAATATTGTTTTGTAGGTCTTAAATTATTTTAAACAGGTCCTAATTTTCCTTTGTTTATGTAAAGCTATCCAGACAATCCAATACACATCCAATCACCAACGATACATCTCAATAAAACTAAGCAAAACTGTATTCATAACTAATATTCTAACAGTTTGTTGTGCATACATAGTTTTTAAAGTTATGTTGAAAACAAATTATGTATACAACCAGGGTCTGCTTATTTTGACACATAATTCAAAATATGTGGCTAAGAAATGACTAATTAGAATTAGTTTTTTTGATTTCCATTTTTTTTTTTTTTTTTTTTTTTTGCTGGGTGATTAAAAAATCCTTAGTGTTTAGCCCTAAATAAGTCTGAAATTTTATTCTATATGGTCTTAAAAAGTCTTAAATTTGACTTGGTGAAACCTGCGAAACCCTGACAACAAAGTATATCGCAATATATCGCAGAAAAACAAAATATCGCAATGTCAGATTATCCAATATCATGCAGCCCTACCTAAAACTGAACATGAATAAACACTGAGAGAGAAAAGACATAGAAAAATACTCACCTGGTCCATGTTTTTTGGGCTCTGGTGCTTTAGTTGCTTGAAAAAAAAAGCAATGTATCACTCATAGGTATGATAATGTAATACTCAAAGAATATGACTACATGTTTAGGTGAATGGCAAGTTTGTGCTCTACTTTGGTTAGAGAAGTCAAGCAATAATTTGCATTTTTTTTCAGTAAACTATTTCTGTTATTTATGTGTTCTGGGTTGCTGAGGATTTTTTTTTTTTTTACAGATTTAAATGTGCGATAGCTAGACCACACACTTTCTTCCTGTGTAAGAATGACTCAGTAGGAAACAAATTAAGCGTTAAAAGGTAATTCACACATATACAGTATATCTCTTGCACAAAAAATAAGTCATTCTGATCATTTTTATTTAGAAAAGAGCAAATAGTGATCGTTGCTTGTGTTGTCAGTATTTTTCTCTCTTACTGGTTGTTGTACAAGTTGTTATGCTGGTTCTTGTTCTGGTTGTTGTTTGAATCGTAGCATTTGTGCTGACTTGTGGGACTTTGTTCAGAGGATTGTCTGTGGTGCTAGTGGTCTGCGGTTCTTCAGAGGTTGGTGAAGTATTTGGTGAATCTGCTGTACAACAGATAAAATATATAACTTCCTTTCAGTTAAAGGTTGTCATTTACACTAAAACAAGCAGCATAGCATTTAGACTGGATTATATTTCTCAATAGTCTCTCTGCATTGTTGCATCAGTGGTGTGGGCAGATGTGCAATAGCAAGATATCAAGCTAAATGAAAAGCTACCTGATCCTTCATCTAATGTGTCGTTGGCTTCTGTTGTGTTTGATAGAACAGTAGTCGATATAGGTGATGAAGTTACAGTAGAGTTGTCCAGAATGGTTTTGTTGGTGGTGGTGTTATCAGGCTTTAAAACTATAAAGGTGCTGTTTGTGCCGTTTATCATAGTTGTGGCCTCATTTCCAACTGCGAGGACAAGTATGGCCCCTGTATATTACCAGAGAAAGCTCATGAAGAACATACAGTATTTATTATAATCAACAAGTTGTTACATCTCTAAAACTCAGCTGCATATTCTGTCATTTTAATGGCTTAAAATATTAAATATACACTTAAATAGCAAATTAATTTTAATCATATAAAGTTTTTGTTGTATTTAAAAGCTTAGACTTATTTTATTAAGGTTAAAAGTCTTCAAACTCACCAAGAAAGAGATGAAGTGATGCGTAGCACATCTTGAGAAAAGATGCTATCTTGTAATATGTATGTTCCTTCCTCAGGACAGTTCATATACTCACTCTGAAACCACGTAACTTCCACTTCTATGACCAGCACAGGATGCAGCAGATATTTAACCAAAAAAGGCACGTAAGGAACTTAGGCAGTTTTGTAAATCCCCTTACACTACATGTAGTGTATTCTTCATTTAAACTTGAACAGGTTGTGTGGACATTGTGATCCATTGTTTGCAGTCTGGAAAAATGGAAAACCCAGCTGTATAGGAACAAGTGTGCATTTGTGTTTAAAAGATTTTATGTGCAATTTCTCACACCAGTAATTTCACCATAGATATTTCTATTTTTAAGGTTAACAGTAGTCTATGTAGTGCATTCACAGCATATGGGGTAACAGCTCTTATTTTACACCATTGATTTTCATTTATCAGGGAAACTTAAAATTAAAATGCTTGACAAATGAATAAAAAACAAAGGTTCCAGACAGGGAAGTAAGATTGTAGTTGTAGTAAGAAGTAGTTGTAGTAGTCGTAGTAGTATTAATAATAACTATAATAATAATAATAATTATTATTATTATTACTACAACTATAAATAATAATTCTTTCTAAAAAGAACATTGAGGCAGCGCTGTGGGTAGCACAATCGTTTCCTAGTGATAGGTTGCAGCCGGAAGGGCTTTTTTTGTGTAAAAACATGTGCTGGATAAGTGGACAGTTCATTCCGCTGTGGCGTCCTCAGATTAATAAAGGGACTAAGCCAAACGAACAATAAATGAATGAATGAATAAAAATAAACGTTAGAGAAACTTTTCAAAATATTAATAAAAAATCTTCTTGTTATAAGCATTTTAATCTTTGAGTAACTGAGTAATTTTTCTTTCTATGGATGTTAAAGGTTTCTTGTTGGAAGCCGATAAAGTTTTTATTTATTTATTTTCAATAAAGTTTTTATTTATTCATTTTAAAAAGTACAGGTATAGGGACCTTTAAAAATATCAATATCAAAAATAGCAATCAGTGAAAGTGTTTCTTAGGGCACCAGGACATTAATTAGATCCATGTTTAGGTTCTGGTTATTGCACACTGGAAATCTGGTTATAAAATCAAGAGCATTTTATGTAAAACCACATTTAGACACAAGGTGTCACTGTAAGTATGAGAAGACAAACAGTTTGTTGCAGAACTCATACGTAGAATAAAATCATACACAACTATGCTAGTAAATACATCTAATATTTGAAAATCTAAATTATATATATATATTATATTCAGATATTGCATCTAAATGTCTAAAGAACATTTAAATATTTAAATATAATATAATATGTAATATACAAATATATTAGTGGTCTGCTTTTGAGCTTATATAAACTGTTTGTTTACTGTTTGTTGAAATAGTGTGGTCTGTTGTTCTGACTGCTGCTGCTGCTGCAAAAAAAAAAAAAGTACATCCACTCCAGTTGATCTTACTTGGAAACTTTATTTACTGGACATTAATATTTTGGAATATACCACAACCAAAATAAATGACGCCATCAGGAAAACTATACAATTTTGGTCAAATATGGGTGAGACTGTATCAGACAAGGTCCAATCCTGTTTTTACACCTACTTTTCCTCTATTACTGTTTTTTTTATAACTTGCCTTTCTGTTGGTTGAATCTAAACGATGTTGATTGAATAAAGAGTAAAAAAAATATTGTGGACTGCTAAATCTAATACAATTCTTAATGTTGCTTACCCCACCTTTTTATACTTTTTATACTCATCATGATGTTTATAACTTTCTGATTTTAAATGATGTTAAATGGTAAGATTTTACCATTTTATTTTACCCCTATTTTTGAATAATAAATAAAGTATAGCCAACTGGAAAGCCTTCTTGCTAAATTATTTTAAAACATCTAATCAGCCTCTCACTTCTGAGCACTTCTGAGTTTATTGGACAATTTAAAAGCCTCTTCATTTAACTATATTAATAAGTGCCCCATTTGGCACAAGATACCTAACCAAAAATTGTGTTTAAGTCAGGTTTTGTCCACTTTGTGGGGACAATTATTACATTATTTTGACATGTGGGGATCAGGGAAAAAGGAGCGCAAGTCTGTAAATGTTAGAAAGTGTGAGTGCTTGTTGATAGAAGGAGGTTGTATTTTCATTTATTACTGTTTATTTCCTCATGCCAGAGGTAATCAGTGAGAGGATTAGTGCTAACTGCCACCCAGTTAGTAGTCTGAGTGAAAAGAGCCCACCAGCAAAACGGTAAAGCAGCAGCAGGAGCAGGGGCAAGCGGCTCCCTCTGTGGGCCTGGCCACGCAGCTCGCCCATGAGGCTCTCTAATCTAGCTCTGAATGAATCCAGTCTGTGCCACTGACTGCCACATCAGAGCTCAAGTGCTGGCCAGAGTGGATGAGCTAATCGTTTCTCTTGGAGGTGTTGGGATAGCAGAGTAGCGAGTGAATTAGAGAGAGAGAGAGAATGGGTGTGGAGAGAGGAGACCACCCACCCGGCAGATTCAGGATTCGGGAGGCCCAGACGCAGAACTCCATTCTATGACCCTCTGTGCCGCCCGGAGCTCCAAGCTGGACCCTTCGCAATTGTGCTGCCGCCCCAATGTCCCCCAACCCCCACCTCTCCGAGCTAACACAGGGGGAAAGGAGGGGGTGGTGGTAAACAGCCTGTCCCTGTCAAACCCCCCCACCCCACTCTCTCTCTCTCCTTCACAGTACAATGGGAGGGAATGCAGTGGCTGAAGCACTTTTAGAGTGGCCAAATGCTGCAAAGGCTGAATGAAACATCTGTGGAGGCACATAGCCTAAGGAGGGAAACGCTGTTCTGTTGTGAACCAAACTGCCAACCTGTTTTTCGGACTTTTTTTCCCTTGATTTTGGCAAATGTGAGCATACTGTATAAATGATTTTTTACAAGGGTGCGAAAGATGTGATTTTATGTGTTTTGTTGTTCGGGGAGCAGATTCCTACATATGTTTTCCACATCCTTATAACTTCATATATATTACAAGCTGTCGGAGAAATGTAATGATTTTGTGGAAGTTATAAACTGGATGAAGTTAGAGAAAAAAAAAGGAAAAATAGCCAAAGAATGTACAATAATTAACTTTATGCCATTTTAAACTAGAATCAATGTCTTGTTATGTTTAGACTGAGACTTCAATGAAAACCTGTTTGAATGTAAATACTCGAACCATGTGGTTTGCCTTAGAAAGATTTTGTTTGTGCGTGTGTGTGTGTGAATTAAAAGCATTTGCATTATAAGCATGTCCTCGTAATGATATAATAAATGTGAGAGACTTGTTCTGTTTGTAATATTACCTCTCCAAAGCACCTCTGGGATAGGTACAACACTCAGACATCCATCTGGTGTTTTAGACAGTTGGCCCATCTGCTGTGTCATCTGTATTTTTCCTGAGATGTTTATCAGATGTTTGTACACAATAGTTAGAATCCAATGCTTTCCAGATGATGAGCTCTGTGACAAACTATGACATACACAACCCACATTTCCCACCAGTTCTTTGTAGCATTATTTTAGAACAAAAGAGTTATATTAGATTAAATGGTGACAGGTTATTTTAGAAATCAGAAAATTAAATTAGACCATCAATAACTGATAAGTTAAGAGGACTAGTTAAAAACTTGTATACAACATACAGCACTGATAAAATCATTGTAATAAAACCTTGCATTCTTATTCTTGCCTTAAATTATTATTTTTTACATTTATAAGCTGCACATTCACACTTGTCAACCTACACAGTTTTTTAGACAATAATAAGCATACGATAGGGCTGGGAGATTAATCAAAATAAATTTGGAAATGCGATTAAGCAAAGCTGTGATTGTTTATTCAGCTTTTGTTATTGATTCAGAGAAGCACAATAGTGGGTTTACTATACGCCACAAAAAAGTTCAGAGAGCCGACTGTACTGACAAAATGAATGAGCATCACATTTGCCTGATTAATCGTCTAGCCCTTTTATACAGTGTAATCATTAGGACATAAATACAGCTCTGCAAATACCTCTGTGTACTTGACCTAGTGGATATCAGTAACATACAACTCTTTAAAGTTTGATTCAGCATAAAAGTAAATATTTGAACAAAATTTGCATCTTTGAAAGTGCCCACTTTCTTAAATACATAGCATATTAATTAGGATTCAGCCTGTCAAACTGTGTATCATAAAGGTGGTTCTTATGTTTTACTATATTCCAGTTCTTCTTAAGTCCCATTATACTTACTTCCATGGCCGTTGATAATTAGCTGCACCATGTTGGTGTTTTCTAACATTTTATTTTAACATGGTGGGTCATTATCCCAACGCTCAACACCCAGCCTGGAGGACCAGGACATACACACATACACTATGGGCAATTTAGCTTACCCAATTAACCCATAGCGCATGTCTTTGGACTTGAGGGAAACCCATGCCAACATTGGGAGAACATGCAAACTTCACACAGAAATGCCAACTGACCCAGCCATGGCTCAAACACGATACCTTCTTGCTGTGAGATGACAGCAGTATCCGCTGCGCCACCACACCGCCCAAGTTACATTATCGTCAATATAATACTTTTTTTTTTTTTAGCTAAAAATGTTTACAGCACTAAATATCCTTTGTGCATAGAAAAAAACAAAACATGAATGCATGAATGGTTTGTAAATCCGACTGGCTCGTTTCTCAAGTTCAACTTCCTTAAAGGGCCATGACACCCACCACTTTCGGTTAAAGTCTACTTCAGAATTTTTTTAAAAGATGCATGATTAATGGGCGTGGAGCTCCGCGAGCATCGGGTAGGAGTGGGCGTGGCCAGCAGGGGAGAAGGGTAGCGAACGAAGCTAGCTCACAAAATGAGACAAACCGTGAGGAGACGCATGAGTTTATAGTTTACAAAGTTAAAATGCAAAGAAATGAACTGTGATTTAATGCCCTGCTACATTTGTTATTCGTAATTTCATATACACATAACCACAATTTATATCATTATAAAGATAAGTTTGTTCATGTAAACCCTATAAATGAGTACTTCT